AGTGAAAAGAGTTTAATTAATGTTTTAGAACCAAAGAGACATTTATTTTCAAGAGAAACATAAAAATAATGCTCTAGAAGAGCATATGTACTGTGACAGTTTGATATCAAAAATTATTGGCTTACAAAAATGTGAGGGCTTGGGCATAATTGGATCAGTGTGTTGAGCAATGACAGAAAGGGTGTCTCAGCTCTTGTATAGCCCCAGAGCAGAAGAACTGACAGAGAATTTAATGAAAATGTGCAATACAAACACACAAACATCCAACATCTCAAAAAGGGAAGAGCCAAGAGCTTTTATTTGCAAACAAAAGGTCTCTGACACTGAACATAATTCCTGGTGCTCCCTCTTGGCCTTTTGTCAGAGTAGGACTGCTTTCTGCTTTCCCTAGTCCCAGCAGCCAGTTTAAAAAGGATCAGACAATTAGCCTGAGTTCCAGACAGAAACTGGATTTCTGTTTGTCAGAGTTCCCTGTGGAGCCAAAAAGGAAACAGAGATGATCCCTCACACCACAGAGAGATGACTGAGACATTCAGGATGCAGTGTCCTGGTTAGATGAAATGTCCTTTGTAAGTGCCTGTCCAGCCTCAGAATCCAATGGCAACAGAATGATCTTGGATCTACCTTTGTCTTAGCTAAACTGTGGATGCAAACCAACATAATTGCATGGCAAAATGATTCAATAAACACTGTTATCTGGGCAAGTCACTTTGGAGGGAATTTCACCTGAGACAAAGAAAACCATTTTTTATTTGGTAGAAGAATGCCCAGATAGGGAAATGGGCTTGTTTATTTGTCGTAATTTAACTCAACATCTGTGTAATGAATAAAATTTTAACTGTGGGACAAGTCCATATATCAAAGTGAAGTGTTGCTTTTCCTGAAAGTCAGCACTTCTTGTGTGTGGCCACATGACTCAGTGAGCCTGAGAGCTTCAAGCAGTAAGGGATGGGGTTATTTTGACATAATATGAGTGGTTTATTTCTCTCTACCTTGATCCATGATTGTGCCTGTCACTGTACAAGATTTCTGATTACGTCAAAGAGCAGTAATGTGTATTATGTACAGAATAAGGAATTCCTTACCTGAATTTTGGTGCATGAAGGTACAAGTGAAAGACAGACATTTACATTTTCTGGAGAACACAATTATCTATTTTTTCATTAAGCATCATTCATTTCATGGCCCTCTGTGTTATGGAATAGAAAATAATACATGTGGACTGGAAGAATACCCCAGTCCTGCTCTGGAAAAAAACCCTTGGCCAACATAAGTATTTGACTGTTTTGCAAGATACTGTCTCACATGACGTAATATCAGGCACCTGGTGTAGTCTCATCATCATTGGTCTCAGCTTTTGTCCATGACTAACAAAAATTAGGCAACATATTAAAAAAAAAAAAGGAAAGAACTGTGGGCCAGATGGTTTTTGAGAACTGACTGAAGTGGGAGGTGAAGTAAGCATTTGACAACGCACGGGGAAAAGATTAATCATCACTTCATGTTCTACGTCCAAACCAGTTGTGTCTGTGTTATCTGTGATGCCTGATTTTGATTAGGACAACAGGGATTCCCTGTCTGGGACACTGGACTGTCCCTCTGAAGGAGAGCTGGGATTGGGCAGATACAAACAGCCTGCATAACTCAGACAAGCACAGAAACCCTTACAGGTATTTCCACAATTTGATCACAAACTACCACAAGGGCCTGCAGAAGTGAGCCAAGGAACCGTCTGAACCACAGAATGGTGCATATTTAAATAATTCAAAATGCTGGCACCTCATGTTAAAGGCCACGTTGGCTATTTGTGTTTGTTCATTTTCAATAGGATTCACAGGAATACCCTGGGATCACACAGGAAATTTGTCAAATGGGCTGCAAGGGGAGCAGTGCCTGCCCTGCCTTTGCCAGCTGTAACCTGAGGGTGATGGGCAGGGCTGGAACCATCTGCAGACCTGGTGCCAATGCCCTGCACCAGGCTGAGGGCAAGGGGTATCCAGACTGAGCACTGGACCTGCAGGGTACCAGAGGCTTCTTTGGAAGTGACTTAACTTTGTTTGTTTTGTAGATCAGATGGCAAACACTGAAACGGAAGAATCTACAAGGGGATGCAGGCACAGAAAATCATAAATCGACACTATGTTAGCCTTTTTGTTCAGGTAACACACGTCAAACATGTTGAATTTTGCATTTTAATGACAGTGCCAGGTATGGCACACAAAAATATTCCAGCATTTTTAAATTTTCCAATCAAATTCCGAAAGCAATTATCAAAGGCCTACAACATATCTAATAACCATTTGCATAGTTGGAACCTGGTATAAGTTGGTACCTCCATGGTAAGAATACTTCTGTTAAATGCTGTCCTTTTGTGGCAGTTTGTCTATGGACCTGACAGCTGGTTATTCTTGTGCACAAAGGGTATTAAGCAAAATGAACACAACTCACATATATGCAGCTGGATAGAAGTGGTTCCTGATACACACACAAACACTCTCTATTTGTCTATGCATATGCATATATAAGTTGTATAGAAGTACAACATTTGACACAAATTTGTGAATTTTTATGTCCCTGATTTGTATTTTCTTGTAATATTCCATGACTACTTGATATATTAAAATCTGTTGTGATATTTAGACTATTAACAGCATTACAAAAGCAAACATTTTGTTAATTTTTTTCATTACTTTCAGGGCTATCAGCCCTCATTTCACATCCTGTTTTGTGAAAAGAGAGGCCAGTTTCAACAGGTTTAGATTTCACTTTTGGGAGAGGGAAGAATTAGTAGTTCAGAGACGGCTCAGATAAGCCTGACCTTAACTGACACAGTGGTATGTTGGTTTCTGCTCAGTGAAGGAGAAAGAGGGAGAAGCAATATTGCCAAGAACTTCAAAATCATGAAGATTTCACTTTAGATTTTCTACAGATGACTTAAAACAAAAGACATACAAATTTCTACAGTTAAGTATATTTTGTCTCAGTGACCTCCCATCAGATGTGAAAAGCAAGGGGCTCAGTTTCTGGCTCCCAGGACATCTCCAGGTAATGTCCCAAGGGCTCCCATGAGCACAGTCCCTGCTGAGGGGGAGACTCCCCTGTTCGGGTTCTGCTTCTGACCCCTCCAATTCCTGCTGCTTCTGTGGCCCCCAGATTCTCACACTGGATGGCTCAGCCTTTGCTTAAAAGGAACTTAGGTTTACTTGCTCCATCTTTCTGGATTAAATGGGATTTGCAATTCCCAAGCATTTTTTTCCTTTCCTTTTCTGCCTTATTTCTTTGCTGCTGCTCAAAAACTTTGACAGAAACTTCAGAATGATCTCTATGAGCTTCTTACAGGTGAACTTTTCAGTGGTGTATTAGTTGCCTTTGTTCATCCAGGCTGGTGCTCTTCCTCCAAAACTGGGAGGAAGGTGAGAGAAATATGAGAGTTACTGGTTTCAGAAAAGCTCCCCCGAAGAAAACTGTCTTTTCTAATACTTGATAATTAAAAATTCATGTCTGAGGGTTTATTTCCATTCCAATTCGTCTCCTGAGGTTAAAAATGTTTTATTTCTTAGTAACGTAGTTCTTGATGTTGCTGTCATTGTTGGAATATTTGGGTCTCTGTACGTAGCTGTGCTCTGGCTCCTCATGGTGTCCTGGAAGGAGCAGATAAACACCCCGGGCAGCAGCGGCAGCACATGCTCCCGGAGCAATCCAGCCAACATTCCTCAACTCTGACCTGAGGACCACCTCTGGAGATAAGAGTCCCTTCTTATCAGTGAGCCCTCGCTTTCTCTGCCAAGGCTGTCAGCAAAAAGGACAGTCAGAGCCAACACTGCAGTTGTGCAGCAGGGGCTCATTCACCAGAAACCCTTCCGTGATCACTGGAGTGATTTCACATCCGCCACCAGAAAATTTATATCCTAACATATTCACATTCCCCTTTCACCCAGAGCTTGAACCCTGAAGATCTGGCAAATGACCAATTCAGTGCCTCATTAGTTTGTTCCAGACCTGGCACTTATGTAGCTCTGGGCTCTCTCTGCAGTGTGTCAGGAATCACACACATGCTGCCTGTGCTTTGCAGACTGGGGGGGGTTGTTACCTGTTCAAAGATGAAACCTTAGAACCATTGGATATTTTCTAAAAATCAAACATTTAAGTTACTCTCTCTACTCTTACCTCCTCTTGGTGTAACTGGTCATGTTATAATTTAAAATATTCTTCATGTGACTAATTATTTGCCTAAATCACAAATATTTCTTTTCCTTTGCAGATATTTGATGTGGTAATTGCTGGTTTTCAGTTCTCAGAAGTCACTGCCACGTAACCAGAGGGTGGCTGAGAGACCAGTTGTTTTAAAAGCTTTGGTTCTGCAGACTTGCTCATCTGCTGTTCGGTAGCAACATAAAATAGCAACACAGGTTCTTATAGTGCCAAATCATCCTGACTCTGCAGACAGCTCTTTCCATAATGTGCATGAAAAGATTAAAAGTTAGTAAATAATTTTTCAATTAATCATGGTTTTCCAGTCAAATCATTTTCCTAGGATGACCTTAAAACACTTTGTAATTTTATTTCATGTATCTCAGTGCATATAAAACTGTGCTTATGCATCATTTGACATTCCTCGACTGAGGAGGTTGATGTTTTGGCAGAGCTGGGTGTTGATGTGTTTATGGATGGAAAATTTTGGTTCTATATTGTATCAGCAACTCTACAAGATGTGATACTGGGATTTAGGGATCTAATCTCCTAGAAAATGATGAGTGAGACTTAAGTCTATTCTTGCTAAGCTTTGAGAGAAAGGCTGACACTAGGGGCATATGCAAGTGCTCTTTAGTTTTTCGTTTGACACTAAAAGTCTGAAGTACAAGAAAATCATTGTTTTTAGCCTGGCTCCAGCAGATGTATTTATAAAATATACAGATTCTCTTTACATTTTAAGTAAGACTTAAATAAGCCTGAAATTTGAAGTATTGGTCTCTTGGAATAGGATGCTATGGAATATTTATTTTTCCTGCTGTGTGATATTTATTGTCTTACAGCCTGTATCTGCAGTCCTGCAGCACAGAGAAAAGAAATCCTGACCACGTTAAACTCTGACAATTTCACTTTTGCTATGGGAACATGATGGGCTATTTTCTGTTTCCTCAGAAGCTTGTTGGAATTTACCTTGGAATTCATGTGAGAGCTTCAGGTTTGTACTTCTCCTGTGCCACCTGTTTGTCTGTTTTATAGGAAACATTCATCCTGATTTGCTTTTGGCAATGATCTCAATGATCTTTGCCTTTCTCCTCTTCTGCATGAATTAATGTTTCACTGTACAGTGAGTGGAGATTAGCTGATCAAAACAGCATCCATCTTTCCATCCTCTGGGGGCCAAAATCCTGTGGGATCTATTTCCAAGATACTCCTACAAGGCAGAGCTTTGGAACAGGTAACTTCCCAAATCCTGGGGTCAGGCAGCTTTGCTGGATTCTTCTTAATGCCCCATGGCACTTTGGATCCAAAAGCACTAAATCCCAAGTTTCCCCCTTGTGAGCATTACAAATGATGTCTTAATCTACCAGCACTGGAAAACCTCTTTTTTATATCTTTGTTTTTAACACATTTTTTATTTACAACAGAAAAATACAAAAGCAAGTCCCACAGGCTTTCCATTTAAATTTTTAAAACAAAGTGAGCTGTCCTGAGTCTGTCTACTGCAGGCACTGTCAAGACAATTCCATCTTGAATACTTTCTGTTTTAAAAATATTCTGCCCAGAATATATGTTTTAAAGTTTTGATTGATCTTTTTAAAGTGATAGGCATCTGCTGTTGAATATGTTGAGATGAACAGGGAACGTTTTTCCTGCTAATTAGAGTGTTAGCACTTATGTCACATTCCAGATTTATTCCCTAGCTTGGGAGGTAGGTAAATAAAGAGATAGAGTCTCCTTCAACTGCAAAGGGAAGGACAGAGGTGGAATAACAAGGTAGACCCAGGTTTTGAAGTCGTCAGTTCACAGTTTGAAGTTCTGTGCTCAGCTCACTACAAACCATTACACTGGCAGATATTGGTTCATTCAGCCCTCTAGAAATCTAATCACCTTAGGATTTCCAGTGTCTAAGTTCACAATAACATTAATTACCACTCAGAAGTCTGGCTATTTCAAGACAATTAAGAGATATGAAGAGAATTGGTGGAAGAGTGAATCAGGGGTCACAGTCTAGTTCAGAATACAGCCAACCAGTGCTCAATCTGACAAATGAAAACAAAATATAAAGCTTGAGAGGAGCCAAAAAGTACCTTAATAAATAATTAGAGCTTGCAGGTTGCAGGGAGCCGGGTTCTCTTGGCGACAGTGGGCAGCAGCCGTTTCTGAACAAACAAGATTGGATTTGTGTCCCGGGAGAGCAGCCCCGGCCCGGCCTTGGAGCTGCACGGAGCCCATTCCCGACCCTCTGTGCCAGACAAATTCCCTCCATGTGCTGGAGTGGGCACAAACGTGGGGCATTCCCAAGAGGTGCCTCAGGTGAGATGGCTCTGTGCTCCCAAAGACATCCCTGGCAGTGCTGGGGACAGTGCTGGGGACAGTGCTGGGGACATCTGCTTTTAACTGATGAGGAGCTGCCAAGTTTCACGTGCTCTGAGCCCCTGAACCCAGTCGTGTCCGTGGGGTTTCTGTAGGCTCAGCAGTTGTAAGAACAAACCAACCAACAAATAACCAGGCCTGCAGGTAACAGCTTTGGGCAGGTGTGATGTCCAGGTGTCCTGCAGTGTGTGCACACTGTATGAGAGAGAGAATAAATGCATTTGTACAAGGGCCGGCCCTGGGAAACGCCTCCTGCAGCAGCAGCCAGTTCGTGCTCACAGAAGAGCTTTGCCTCAGCAAGGTGTTAGCTGGTGGCATCTGTAAAATGGAACCTGAGGAGCAGGAAGCAGGCAGTGTTGCCTCTCACCTCATTTGAGGGAATGGTGGTGAGCCCAGGCTCTGGATTATTGTCCCTTCCCATCGCTTGTGGGATGTTCCTCCCAAGCTGCTGCAGCACAGGCAGTGACGAGGGTGAGCAGACAGAGAGGCCCTACAGCAAGGGGCATTAGGGGAGCAGTGTTTACCCTCCTCTGTATTTGCTGCCTCAGGCAAATGTCCCTCTCATTCCTCCAGTGGCCTTAAAATGAAGGGTCTCTCTCCCTGTGCACCCTTGCCCTCCGTACAGCTCCTCCTGTCTATCAGCTGCCAGGGGAAGAAAAAAACACCCAAGTGTAAAATTAATGCTTTCTCCTTTTTTACAGCACTGTTGCACCATCCCGTTCTTCCCTTTGGCTTCGAGGGGACTGTGCCAGCACTGACTGCCATCATCCCTTTACCTTCTAGGCCCTGGTCCTGTGCTCCCACATTAAAAGGTTTGTTGCTTTAAGAAAGCGTGTGCCATGATTGGGAGGGAAGGTACAACCCCTGGTGTCAATGAGCCTGACTGGGTTTGTGGGGAGAGGTGTAGCTCTTGCCTCCTGCTGCTCTCTGGGAGGAGGCCTGGCAGCTTGGCTTGGCTGGAGAGAGCTGAGCATGACCTGAGGTGTGTGAGCAAAACCCTCAGCTGAGGCTGGGAGAAAAGTGCAGTGAGTGATGGGCTTGTGCTGTTGCTGGTTTCAGTCAGCTCTGATGCACTGGGTACAGTTCATGCTGAAGTGCTTGGAGATGTTGGAGCAGAGCTAGGAGAGCTGGTGGGTCTGGGAGAAGCAGCTTGAATTGTGAAAGGAGGTTCTCTGGATCCGGGATAACTTGGAATTCCTAGGGAGAAGCTTGCCAGCTGAACTAGAGAGTCGTAGTTCCTGCTGGTATGGCTCAGCCTTCTTAGGAAGACACTTCAATGTGTATTTGATTAAGAAGAAAATGGGCAGAACAAGTGGAAAATAACAGTATATCTCAAAGAAAATTCCAGTGGGCAGGAGCTGTTAGCTGGCCTCAGACAGAAAGGCTGGGCTGTTCTAAGGGATGTGCTTTCTGGAGGTGAGGGAGAGGGGTACAAGTGTACAGCACTTCAGGGTATGAGAAATTAAAGGGCAGCACAGCTGCTAAAAAATTGAAGTTGATGTATTTGCCACTATAAATGCAGCCTGTTTGCCAGAACTCTGCAGTTGGATTAAACTCAAAGCATATGTTCTCTGACTTCAGAACTATCCCACACTGGGTGTACCCATCACCTCTGTTCTCTCCTCAGCAAAAAAGCTGAAGCTCTGTAAACGTTGCCCATCTCCAGTCCAGCAATCCTTGCACCACTTCCAGTTCACCCATTAAACTTCCTTTTCTCCTTTGTCCACCTCTTTCTCGGTATAGGTGCTTCCTGATTTCTTTTGCCTTCTGGTGTCTTTATTTCTAATGTCTTTTCCCTAATTTTTTGCCCCTCTTTTAGAGCCAAGACATGACTCTATCATGTGTTCAATGAATTTCCAGATAAAGTACCTGTATGTTCTCACTTTCATGTCCTTCACATTTTGGAGAAGCTCCTTAGAAGCACCTCAAAATAAACTGGGCTTTGTTTTCACATGCACAAAAATCTACAATATAGATTGCCTATCTGCAGTAGGCTTCTGGTTTCCTGAGATTACTTATGTTTATAGTCATCAGTATTGTCTGGTGTTTCCTTGCTACTTCAGTCTTGTTTAGATTGTAAATAATTTGGATAAGGGTCTTGTCTCTTTATTATAATTATTGAAAAGCTATAACAATTAAATCTTGGCTTATACTTAAGGCTCCCAGTGAATGCTAAACTGCTGATAACAAAATAATTCAACATAGTGAAATTTGTCTTCCTGCTTAGGGTGTTTTCTACAATCAGTGTGAATCCCTAAAAAAGACACATATTTTCCAGTGAAACATATAACATACTGATGACTTCAAGTTGTCCACTTATCTTTGTAACTGGCCTGAAATCCAGGGTGGCTGGGAGTCAAAATCCCGTCCTTTTTGGCTTTGTGTGTTCTGCTGGTCACCTGCCTAATGAAGTAAGTAGGCAGGGCAATCTCTTTGTCATCCAGGAAACCTCTCTGGGAAAGTGGGTTGGAAACATTTAGGTGAAGATTTTTGTTTCAGTATGGATTTGCTGTTTTGTGGAAACATAAGGATGTTATGGGAGGAGATAGGTTTCAATGAATTCACAAGCTTTAAAAAAGATATGAAAAGTCCAGGATCACTCCTGTTGTTTCCAGGCTTTCCTCCTGCAAGTGATGGTAGTTGCATGAAGGCAATTAGAGAATATGCTGTTTGGGTTGCAGTGGTTTTGCCATTTTTGTTGGAGTCAACTTTGATCTTTGAAAATTTGAGACTTTGAATTTTTGTTTTGAGTTTTGATAAGAAAAGTTTTAATTCTGCTACTTAGTAGAGCTGTAGATAATGAATTCTACCAGACAGAGCTGTGAAAACTAGACCTGCTGCAGTCACAGGAATATACTTATTTCAATACAGAGCTTTTCCCTGCCACTGGCAAACCGCCAGGGCCATTGATTTTTCTTCTCTGTTCTTGCCTTTTTTTTAACATTCTCAGACCAATTTGTCTCATCTGCACCTCTTTTCTAAATCTGCTGTCCCAAACAGTCTTTAGGCTTTGGGTAAGGCTGTGCTCCCAGGGTGCTGACTTGGAGAGTACCATTCTTTGGCTGCCAGCTTCAGTGCAGGAGGAGAATTATTTCCTGTCACCATCCCAAAGGAATGGCAGGAAATTGCAACACAACTGGGATCTATTTCCATGTTCTGGCCATGAGATGATGGCTGCTGGGACAGGGAGTGCATGGCTTCAGTTGCAGGTTAAGGTGTGGTATTTTTGTGGCACTCCCTCCTATGGCATTCAACACTTCTCATCCAGGGGAGGCTGCAGATCCAAGGGGGAAAGAGATGCATAATTAAGAATTGATTGTTACTAAATTTAGATTGAGGGGGGAAAAACACTAATAAAAACTGGTAGGAAAGGCTTAGCAAGCACTAGCAGGTTTTTTAGGACACTGGCTGAGTTCCCTGGGAACTGATTGCTAGGGCAGGGTGGGAGCCACTGGGACCTGCCCACACGAGGTGGAGGGAAACCAGGAGGCAGCACAGAACTGGGAGAAGCAGCCATGAGCATGGCCCAGAAAGGTAATGGCAAAAGGACTCCACGAGATGCAGAGTAGAAAACCAACTGGACATTGTGCAGGATTCATCTACTTGCTGTTTTCTCATTGTGTTCTGGAAACTTGAGTTTATAAACTGAATTGCACCAAAGACATATCTGGTTTTTATTATCAGTCCTGTCTCCATATGGAAATAAGTCAGTTCAACGTCAAGTTTTTTTATTCTTTTAAGTGTCATCGTGTTTTACTGCATCTTTTGGTATCTCTCAACCATTTTCTTTTTATTCATTATAAATGATTAATTCACTAGGCAGTCACCCAAATTGCTTATTTGGCCAAAAAGTATTTGTTACTGGATCAGAAAATCTTGACTGACTACTAAGGGGGGAACTCTTCACAATAAATATTTCTTCTGGGTAGAGCATGACTCTACACTTGAAGAAAAGAAAAATTTTGAGAAGTATTCAAACAGTGTTTATACTTACTGTAGAAGTTGGAATTGTAAAAGATACTTTGCCATTTCTGCCTTGTGAACATATTCTGAAGGACAGAAACAAATTTTAATCTAAAGAATATGATTTTTGATTGGGAAGGAAACTTTATAATGCATGACCTAAAAATTCAGATCTATAATTCACATCTCAATGCAGATACAATATTAATGTTGGACTGATGTATTTGTGCATTTTTTTTCTGGACTACCACTTCTAAAACTGCCCAGAAAAAGGGAAAGACTTTCTCATTTTTGTCAATGTAATTATATGGCTCTCAAAGGATTTGCTCCCGTTTTCACCAGCCAGGAGAGAAGTAGTAGACTCATAATACACAACAAATAAATTGCACTTCCTGCCTTCAGATCTCTCAGTCAGACTGATGAAGGCAGATAAAGGGGGAAAAAGCACTCGAACAAAGGGGTGAAAGTCATGTTTGGTCTTTTCGGAGAAAAGGAGAGTGGAGCCGCTCTGATGGGGGCTGTAATGAGAGTTGTTTCAAAGGGGAGGGGTGACAGGGGGTGGGACATTCCCTCTGCCAGATTTTGATTTAAACCTGAGCACAATGGTGAGGCACCTGTTGAGAGCTGAAAGCTTTGCTGGAGATTGTGGTGCTAATTGTCTCCTCGCAGCTGGGGGATTATGTGTAACCCGAGCACTGCGGGTCTTATGGCAGCCCCGCAAGCACTGGGGGGAAAAGTTCCTGTTTTCTGCAGTTAATGGCACAAAATGGGGGGTTGTGCAGTTTGTCTTTCAGCTCACCTTGCCGTGATGTGCTTTTCAAAACCGGGATTTCAATCTGCAAGTACCACTGGAAGTGCAAGGACGTTGTTTGAACTTCAGAAGTAATTGTGATTCTACTAAATATTATATCATATACAGAACTGAATGAAATCTCCCTTTCTCTGTCCATGTGTTGGTTTGGTTTTTTCCCTCTGTATTTTAAAAATACCTTTCATTGTATAAACACAATTTTGATGGATGCTCTGATGCCTGGAGTAACAAGTAACAGTTCATTTTATGCCTGTGTGAGACTCCATTCACTTCACTGAGCCACCCTGGGATCACTGGATTTGACTATGATGTGAATTTGTGCTTCTTTTTTTTTTTCCTTGTCCTAAGAAAACAGAATGACTTTGATGGTATCAGCCTTTTATCAGTCATCTGAGGACAGGCAACAGAAAGCAGCCCCAAAGTATTTGTAATTGGATGACATGCAGAAGGAAGAGCTGCAACTCATGAAATTAGACCCTTAAAATCTTGTTCTCCTTCATTTATTCATAACCCAAAGTAACTGTGGAAGTTTCTCAAGGTTTACATTAAAATGGGGTCATAGATGACAATTTGGTGGGTTCTAAATTTACTGTTGCATGGGCTCTTTAACAATAAATAACTAAAAAAGGAACTTTTAATATTTCTCACATGAGCATTGCAACATGTTCCTGGAGAATATTAGATATTACTTTAGAAGCAAATCAAAACACCTGCACTCGTGATCTGCTCCACTTTTTCATAATGTTATCAATCTATATTAAAAAAGTAATAGCAGAAGCACTGAGAAAAATAACTAAAGAATATTTTTTCCTTCAAAGGTCTGTCATTAAAACATATTGCCCACATGTACACTATGTAAATATTTATTAGAATTATGACAATTTTGCTGATGTTTAAGACATTGTAACATTGGATTAAAATGTTAGAAAGTTGCATTCAGCTATCTTGTCTCTCCCTTGATAACATTGCATCTTTCTCTGAAAGATGCCTTTTTTTTTGTGCCATACAAAGTGCTTCAAATTTAGGACTAAGACTAGTTCAGATCCTGTCAAAAAAAAAAAAGTATCTGAATTGCAGTAGTATTTCTATTCATTTGATTAGTAACAGGAGCTACAAAAGATGAACATAAAGTATTCTTGTAAGTCAAAGAAATAGCATTGAGTTGCTTGTATAGCTCTTAACTTATACTCCCAGTTTGAACACCCTGAAATTTATTCTTTTTTTTTTTTTCCCCTGAAGGGAAATGATCCCAGGCTTTCCATCATTAGGTAACACTGAATTATCTTATTTAGGCTCAAACTTAGTAATGAAGACAATTTCTGCCCTGAGAAACTGGATGTTGACTTGATCAAACTTAATGATGGAAAACACCTGAGACTAATGAGCCCTGAACGAAAACTTCTGTGTCCTCCAGCTGTGGGTTCTGCCAAGGTAAAATGCAAAACCATCAGAACTGAAAAGGGGAAGAGCTTATCTTAAATATTTCAGTGAAAGAACCATGATTTCTGCAACTAAGTGACTTTTTGTTGCTTGTTTGTGCTATCTGGAGGAGTGGAATGCATTGCTGGAACCTGTCACCCAGTGAGCTTTAAACAGCTTCCTTGAAAATGCAAAAATGTTCTTGTTTGACTGACATCTCACTGTTCATGTTCAGTATTTCCAGTGGGTTGCCTACAGCTCACTAAACAAACAGACATACTGCCATAAAACAGAGTATTCTTCAGTGGAATAGGGATAAATCAAAAGGGAAAAAAGTCAGTTCAGGATGGTAATTGCAGTAACTTGTATTATTGTAGCTCAGCGTGGTTGTAAATATAAATCTCCTAGAAAGAATCAGGAAAAAAAGGTACATTTAAACACAACATTTTTAAAAGGCATAGTCGCTTGTGTTAGAAGCTCATCTATAGGCCTGGAAATACTTAGAACTTTCATTTTTTTGAACGATTGACTAACTAAAAAAAAAAATCAAGAGTGGTGAAAGGAAATCTTGTTGAAGAAATGTGAAAGTAACATTTTTGGCAGCCCACTTCGGGTGATGTCATTCTACAGAATGTGCTAAAGGCTGTTATTTTACAGCAGGAACTGATTCCTCAAGGCAGGCAGAGTCCATGGGCACTTAGTGTTGCTCTCAACTCCAGCCAGCCGAGATCTGAGCTTCTTACACCTCGTTAGCTGGTAATAAACTGTGCCCACTCCTCCCCGTGGCACCCAGAGGTTTGCTCTGCTGGCCAAACACACCCGGGCAGCTCCGGGTCTGACACCCCCTGCACGCTGCTCCTGCGGGGTTTGTCCCTGGGCTGAGGCTCTGCTCGGTGCTCCTGCCCAGTGTTCCCCTCTCCTGGCTTCTGGGGGATGAGCCCACGGGAAGCAGAGCTTTGGGAAGGCAGGGAGGGCCTCCCCACCCCCCACCGTGGGGACAGTCCTTTGGGAGGTGACAGTCCCTTGTGAGGTAACAGTCCCCTGGGAGGTGACAGTTCCTTGGGAGGTGACAGTTCCTTGGGAGGTGACAGTCCCTTGGAAGGTGACAGTCCCCTGGGAGGTGACAGTTCCTTGGGAGGTGACAGTCCCTTGGAAGGTGACAGTCCCTTGTGAGTGACAGTCCCTTGTGAGGTGATAGTTCCTTGGGAGGTGACAGTTCCTTGGGAGGTGACAGTCCCTTGCGAGTGACAGTCCCTTGGGAGGTGACAGTCCTTTGGGAGGTGGCGATCTCTTGGGAGGTGACAGTCCCTTGGAAGGTGACAGTCCCCTGGGAGGTGACAGTTCCTTGGGAGGTGACAGTCCCTTGGACGGTGACAGTCCCTTGTGAGGTGACAGTTCCTTGTGAGTGACAGTCCCTTGGGAGGTGACAGTCCCTTGGGAGGTGACAGTCCCTTGTGAGTGACAGTCCCTTCGGAGGTGACAGTCCCTTGTGGGTGACAGTCCCTTGCTGTTGCTCCCCACGTGCTGCTGCTGCTCACTCTGGAGGACATCAGAGCACATAAGTTCAGTGTGTATTTGCTTTCTCCTGAGTGAAAGCAGGTCTCAGCTCTGAACCACACTGACTTAAGATGCAACCTTCTGGTGAACTGTAACGAGCTTTACTGTATTTAGAACGTTAAATAGTAAAGTGATGGGGTTCTGTGTAAGTCATCCAAGAGGGAGCATGAATTGACTTGTCTTTGGGGGTTTAAGGATTGTCCTATTAAAGGACTAATAAATGCGGGTCACTTGTGCTAACGTAGGGAATATTTGTATTTGTTCCATTTTGTGGCTGCTTTTATGATGCCATCTTCTTTATCCTATTAATTTGGGACCTCTGAGCCTAGTCATGTAAAATAGGCACTTAAAAGTGTAGAGAATACAGCTGGTAGCAGAGGACACTTAAGGCCTGATTCTGGAGACATTTTGTGCATTGCTCATGGAATAACCTGTCATTTGGGATAAGTTAGACTGGCCTTATGATTATTGCATCTGAAAGGAAAACTGCTGCATATATTTCCCCTATATACTTATAAGTTTTACTTCTAGTGACAAATACCATGGCAATAGTCTGTGTAAAATTTTTGTTTCCAGGTATATATTAAAACAATGTTAATCAAGATTTCAGTGTCTTCTAATCAGGTTCGTTTCTTACTCTTGTCTGTAGCATGAAAGTATTGATTTGGTACTTAATGATTCAGGGATTTCTGCATTCACTAAGAGAAATCTGTTTGATTAATGTCTAGAAAGGAAATCCAGTAAAGCTTCTGAAGTTTTATGAGGTCTTATTGCTGTTAACAAAATGAATATATTGGATCTAATCTCGGTGGACACTTCTCAGTGTAAAAAGTGTGTTCTCAAGAAAAGAAAACAATATTGTGGAAGGTCTGTATCTGTAGGCAGATTATACTGACTCTTTGGCTCTGGAATCACAAAAAATAGCAACTTCATTGTAGGCACACCTGCATAACAGTGAGAGGTATGTGGGGACATCAGATTTTGCCACGAGGAAAGACTTCAGGCAGGTTATGGCAGAGGAGGTCTGTGGCAGGGTTTGAACAATGGGGGTAAGACAACAATGTGAGGAGTTATTCTCAGAAAACTTTAAACCATGTTTAAAAATATCTATACATGTAAAAATGGTTTGGCAGTAGAGAGAGTTTCAGACTTCATAATTTTATTTGATTCTGTTTCAGAGTAGTTATTGATACTCTTCATTGGTACTGTGAGCCATTTAATATTCAATTTACTTGTCATGTGCTGAAGGTCTAATTTTATAAAAGAAAAGTCACCACCAGCAGGGTCAGTTTGCACTGTCCCTGTAGGACTCCTTGGTTATCATAATCCACCAGAAGTTTGAAGCTTTGTGCCTGGTATTGTCCAAATACCTACAGTTTTCAATGTCATTAATTTTAGCAGGTCTTCATTAACAAAATGTGAAAGTGTTTTTATGTTATGCCTACTAGAGCTTTCTAATGAAAACTAAATCTGTGTATATTTGAAATATAGTCAGTTTAGTACTTTACTGCAAAACATAAGCAGTAAGTATAATGGAGATTTCTGTAATTATTTAATATTTTTCTTTACATGTGTGTACGGTCCTGTATATGTGCAGCTGTGTTTGGGTGTTTAGATGTGTTCTGGAAATACACTCTGCCTTCTGCAAAAGATCTCAGGAGCAGCTGCTGTCAGTCAGGCCGGGATGTAGGAGGATCCTTCCCTTCTTCCTGAGCCAGCATTTTATTAGGATCTATTGTAAATCAGAAGGATGCCAGCTCTGAAATGGTGATTTTTGGTTATTGCTGCACAGAACTAGGATTTTTTTTTGCTTTAAAGGTATAGCTTTGGAAATTGTATTGAGTTATTTGTACGTGAGCTGTAGTTAGAGGAGAGATTAGCACTGATCTGCTGGAGATACCCAAGGATTGTTGGCTGGCAAATGGAACAGATCCAGACTTGGGGGTGTCCTGCAGCAACCTCCTGGATCTGACAGTTACACTGGAGGTGGGGAAGGAGTCACACCTTCATCTAAGGAAAAACTGTTTTATCATATTGTGTAACCTGTGTCCTCCCTTTCCATCGGAGGACTAATTTAGTTCCCCAGCATTCAAACTTTCTGGGAGGCTTGTTTTAATTTTACAATGTAAGGTATTTCAGGGGCAGAGACCATGTCTTATTTATTGCTTTTATGAGTCATTTAGTTCATTTTTGGATGCTTGACAGATAATAATGTATTTGATTGCATCTTGTGGTATATACCAGGTCTGGAGCAAAACAGACTTTCAACTCTGTAGCAAAGTCTTAAGTTTGATTTACTGTTTATTAATTCAACAGCAGATGCAGGCCAGAACTCAGATTGTTGAAATTCTATGACCTGACTCAGCCAAAGGCAATATAAAATCAAGTATCATCAGCGTACATCTAATAGTTCACACTGTAATGCTGTCTAGATTTTCATCATTAATGTTCCTGGACAAACCATGGATAGAAGAAAACTTGGATGGATTTCAGCTGGAAAATATTCACAGTATCTAGGAGTTCTATAGAATAACATGTTAATGGTTATCACTTTGCAGCAGTCCTTGTACACTCCATATTTCCCAATTGTTGAGCCCTACTATAATTAATCTCAATAAAACAAAACCTTTTTCCCCTTTTTCTCTCACCCCATGTAATTTGTTCTTGTGTGGGCTTTGGAAAGCTGTAGTTGTGGAAACATCAACAAATTCCTAACAGAATAATTGAGCTGACAGCTAAAGAGATGCTCACTTTCTCAAGCACACAAAAAATACTAATTTTGTTAGAATTTTGTTCTCTGTTATTAACTTTTCCACTGAATGAAGCTGAGTCTAGTTCAGGGAGCTATGCACTGCTGGGATGCTGTTGGCCAGGTCTGGGGACATGATGTTCAGCCGAAGCAGCTGAGGGAGGAGTGCCATGTTCTTTTAGCTGCTGAGGGCCATGGCAGTGCACTTCAGGACAGCCCCAGCTCTGGGGGGTGTGTTCAGCCAAGGGACTCTGCCTGAGCTGTGGCTCGTGGTACGAGCCTGGAACGCGGCGATGCCGGTGGGTGCAGAGGGTCAGAAAGCCAAGGTGGGCAAGGCCTTTGGTTAAACCCCTGTGTGAGACACAGGAGTTGGTCTTTCTGCTGCAATGGGCCTGCCACAGCTCCTCCAGTTTGACTGGGTGCTTGGGGGTGGGGGTTTCCACTCATTAGTGTCACACACACGAGACAGTCCCTCTGCTTGACTTGGCTCCTGGGGGCTGATGCTGAAGGGCCAAAAGCCAGTGTTCAAGTTGGTGCTGACCAGCCTTTCTATTGCTTCCAGGAGAGAAGAGGGCTCAGGGACCTTTGTTCTCATAGATCAGGGATATAATTGATTTCCTATATCTTACAAGCCTAATGTCAGCTGGCTGAGCCACAGCCAGTGAACATGTGCACACCCAAAGGCTGGCAGAGGGGCACAGGGAAG